GGCAACGGATCGCACCCCTCGGTGTTGCCCCCTTACCGGACCGGGACCGGCAACGGGACTGCAAACCTCGGTGTTGCTCCCATGCCTCGCTCAGCCAGTGAGCGGGAGCCGGTCTGCATGTGGGATCCGAACCCTCGGGCGGCAGCGCTGCCGCGCCTCCTAAGCGGCGTAAGGGAAGAAACTTTCTTATAGGTATACTTACACTTACTTCTTTAGCTCTGAAAATTTCAATGGAAGACATGTGTACACATATATAAAAGTACATTTTTGTATGAATAAGATTAACTTACTCAATCATAGTCTAAGCTCTTCTGTAAATATTGCACAGTATATATTAAGAGTGTGTTGCCTTCATACAATTTTTAAGAACATCTGTCTGTTGAAACACCCTTTGAGTGTTACTTGTCCTCACTGTCCCCATACCTAAATACTTGTTCTTTTTTCCCCTATCTTAGTATCATCATTTCCTTTCAGGTGTATTATTTATCTTATTTATCTTTTTCCATTAAATTCCTGAACCTATCCTATTTTTTCTCTCCTTTCTCCCAAAATTCTTCCTTGATTTATGAACTTTAAGGCTTAAGAACTTTAAATGATCCTTCTTAATTTAATTCTCTTTTTCAGGAATAACTGTATAAAATACTCAATTTTGGCTAAAAGTGATTATCAGTTTTTTCCAGATTTGTTTCTTACTGGAACAGAATCAAAACCAAAAGGAAATTCATTTAGCCATTAAAAGAATGACTAATATTATGGGAGTTTTATGTGAGACTTGAGAAAATATAGGCATTTGATCTTTCTGTTTTTTGGAGTCAACATATAATGCAGTAGCAGAAAAAGTATTAAGAAATTTTTCAAATAATGCCATTTGAAATTTTTCAGGCTGCTATCCTTGTCCAGGGCCAAATATGAATCCTGTTGCTCTTGGGAGCCGCTGGCTTGCTTATGCAGAAAACAAGGTAAGACATGGCTCATGTTTGGCTTATTTGTAATGGAGCAAGTGTTGAAGGATTTTCCATTATATATACCTATGCTCTGTAGGTGATTACCAATAATCAATGTTTAACTTACTAGCTGGTTTGGTTTGGTTTTAATTGTGCAACCAGTAATTGGACTTTTTAAAAAATTCATAAATGTTTGACAGTTTTTCTTAAATCAAGACTTTGTAAATCCTTTATTTTCTAGGCTGAGTTTTGTATAGAGAACTTTACCCCATTAATATTAAAACACAGCGTTGAGATTACCACCATGGTGGTATGCAAAAGTCAGCAGTTTCTATGGTGCTAAAAATCAGGCAGTAGGAGTGACTTCTGTCTTCATTGGTAGATTGGAAACATGGGGCATAGACTAAATTAATTTACTTTCACTATATATCAGCAATAAGTAGATCTAAACAATGGTTCAGCCATTTGTTTTAATAACTAAATCATACATGCACACTCTTTGTTGAATTTATTATTATTTATCAATTTATTATCATAGTAAGTGAAGATATTTTATTTATACACTAAGAGTTTTATTTATATCCATTTCAAGGCAAAAGGTAAATTTGAATTTTCAAAAAGAAAAAGTAAGGGCCGACCCCGTGGCGCACTCGGGAGAGTGCAGCACTGGGAGCGCAGCGCCGCTCCCACTGCGGGTTCGGATCCTATATAGGGATGGCCTGCGCGCTCACTGGCTGAGCGCGGTGCGGGGCGATCCCCTTACCAGTCATGAAAAAGACAAAAAAAAAAAAAAGTAAAATTCTTTTTACGCCATTTAGTATCCTGCATGTGAATATAAAATGAAATCTAAAAGTTATTACAGACATCAAAGAAGATTATTTCTGGTTTCATTTTTGCTGGTTGCATAGTTACTCTGTCCTGGGTATAATATGAAATAATACAAAATTGTTCTTTACAAAATCAGGATATACTAAGTAATTATTTGGTGAAGCCACAGATCTAATAAATCTCTAGTTTCTGGAATGTACAAAATCAAGAAACTAGTGAAGGAAATTACTTTTCTAGATGAATTCCTGATTCTTTATCCAAAAGTCTGTCTGTAACAATTAGATATTTTGCATTTTACCAAATGCTGTATTTTTGTTCCATCCTGTTCTTTCTCTTGATTTTCCAGTATGTGCCATAAAGATAGATCTTTTCAAATTACTCTTTACAAACAAGACAAGAAACACACAATTAAGCGTGGTGATATAATGGTATCTTCTAATGTTTATATCTGTAACGCATTTCCCTGGAATGCTGGAGACATCCAAGGAGATGTATAAATTGTCTCTTCACTCCTAAAGCTGTATTCTCACCCATTAAACTGCCCATTTGTAATTGGAAGTATTATGTATAGTTACATACTGTTTTTGAGGGGAAAGAACTCACTTCATAGATGCATAGCCTGAATATGTGCCAGTTGTTTTGCCTGTGCAGAATGTCAGTAATATGTGGTGTCATATACAGAGACTAGATGGAGTTTACTAATCAAATGATTGTGTCATCATCTAGAAACATTTCTAGATAAATGTCTTTACATAGTATTTCCTTAAGAGCTAGTATTTATTATCATTTTCTGTTTGTTTTAGCTTTGGGGCTGATTGTAGAATTATATTTCGGAGTAACAAAATGCTCTTTGACTATAAAATTTTAAGTAGTAAGCCATATATCTTGATGAGGGTTATTTTTCAGTGCCTCTTTTGTTTTTAAAATGTGCTCTTCAAAAACTTGTAAGGATAAGTATAGTTATAAACAGCACAAATCACACCCGTGTACCCTTCATTCAGGTTGATCTCTGAATCATTTCAGAGTAAGCTGCGTATATCATTACCACTAAACACTTCAGTTATCAGCCAATTTAACATTGATAAAATAGTTTTATCTAACCTACCATCCATACCCTAATTTTGTCAATTGACCCTATAATGCCATTTGCAGAATTTTTTTTTCCTATGGCACAGGATCCAATCTAGGATCAGGTATTAGATTTTTGTGGAATGTCGCTTTAGACCTTTAAAATATGGAATATTCCACAATCTTTCTTCCTCTTTTACATAATTGATATTTTGAAGAATATGGCCTCTACCTTAACCCCCATGCATGATTTTTATTCAGAGTTTGTCTGATATTATCTCTTCATTATATTCAGATTATGTATTTCTGGCCAGAATACTACATGAGTAATGTTTAGAACCTCTCACAGCATCACATCTGGAGGCACATGATACACATTTCTTTTTTGGTGATGTTAATTTTGTCAAGGTTTTGTCCAATTTTTATATTGAACAATCACTATTTTTTTAAATTAAAAAATTTGCAACTAATAAGCAATTTGGAGAGACCATGCATTTATCCTGCTTTTCATCAAAACTTTTGCCTAGTTTTAGCTTCCATGCATAATTATTGTCTGAACCAGTCTTTACTATGATGCTTGCAAAATGATGATTTTCCACCTCCACTGTCCACATTTACCAGTATGCCCTTAGCTTTATACTGTAAGCAAGAGCTCTTCATCCTCATCTATCTATCCTTTTGATATCTATTAATATTTTTATATGAACTCACAGATTCCTATTTTTCAATGGTTTATAATTGATCATCATTCTTAATTATTTTGATTTTCACGTTGTCCCAGAGTAAATCAATGAAAACCTCTTCAGACAGGTTTCTGTGACCTTGTGACATTCTTTCATTATTATTATTATTTTGCTATTTGTTTATTTGCTGCTATAAGAATATGTCCAGAGTCATCATGTATTTATCCTGCCTCAGCCTTGGAATCTGCTACTCCAGGCTCTCCTGGTTGTGTTTAATGGGCAATGTATTAGAGACTAAGCTTTGTCTACTGGGTGTGTTCATTGCTACTGGGGTGTCTTTACTTCTAGACCCTTTCAATGTACAGAGCTAAGGAACGTATACATACATACATATACATGTACATACACACATATTTATATAAACACACAAATAGGCAAATACACATACATACTTCACTTATATATATATATATACACACACACACATATGTATATACACACACATATTATTTTAGAAATTATTATTTCACATTGATGCTTCCACAGGGTTCTTTCCTGCCTTCCCCATTTCATGTTTATATGTCTCTTCTTTTGCATAGTATACTCTTATGTGAGCACATCTCCTCATTTGTTCAATCCTGTAATGCAGAAAAACAGTTGGAGAATTACTTGCCCATACTGCTACAAAAATCAAAACAAATGAAAAGAGTTCAGCATTTTTCTTTTTTTTGCAATTATGCCCATTCCCATTGCTGCCTAAAACTTAAGGTGCATGGTCAAATACTGTATTGATAGGTTATTTCTAACACTTTGCCCTTCATCCCTTCTTCTTCCTTCATTTTTTAAAAAAATTATTTTAGCTTCCTTTTTTTTTTGGTATATAATTGGGTACATTTCTTTTTTATATTTATGTTTTATTTATATGTTTATGTATTTGAATATCTTATATATATATTTCCTATAATTTCACAAAAGATAACAGTATACAAGGGTACTTCAAAAAATTTATGGAAAGATTTGTATTATCTTTTATTTCTATTTTCCATGAACTTTTAAAAGTACCATTGTATATGGTCTTTGGCACATTGCTTTTTTTGAAGATTAGTCCATTTGATAGTCTTTAATTTTGTTGGACCAAGGAACAAAAGTAATTTTCTGGTGAGTCTAAGTTTTAGATCAACATTTCTGGCTTTGTTATTTTTATGTAGAAATGCTGACTGAGTTGTAGTTAAATTGAAAAGATAAGAGTGTTGCTTATTTTTATATATTTGTCCTTGAATATTTTAATAAACTGAAGCAGGGAATAGATGATAGCTTTCCAAAATATTGTCTTCCCTTTTTCATGCAGCAGGAGGCAGCAGAGGGATAATTTTCATAATTCTTTGAATGTGTACTTGTGGATAAGAATGAATGAGAGATTCTTTTTGTTAGCTGAAATGATGACTTCTCCAGTTCTTTATATACTCTATGTAAAGCCTCATTTGCTGATCACCTATCATTTGGAAAATGTCTTACCACTTGCCTTGAAATCTGCTTAAGCAACCGTTCAGTGTGGCGTAACAGATTGCCTAAAAATACCTTGAAATCACTATCAGACTTTTATTTTTTTATTTATTTATTTTTTTTTTAAAAGATGACCGGTAAGGGGATCTTAACCCTTGACTTGGTGTTGTCAGCACCACGCTCAGCCAGTGAGCGAACCGGCCATCCGTATATGGGATCCGAACCCGTGGCCTTGGTGTTATCAGCACCGCACTCTCCCGAGTGAGCCACGGGCCGGCCCTATCAGACTTTTAAAGGTGTTCCATTCTATTATAATAAATTAATATTGCTTTGAGGGATTAAAAAAAACAATGTCGGTGATGAAGGGAATTTTGAATTAAGAATGAAAGGATTACATATTCATCTTCATCAAAGGACCAGGCTTTAAATTATGTAAGGCATTTTTTATTTTTATGTTTTGGGAGATGTCGATTCTTTGTAAACTCCAGAGACTTTTGAAAGCATGTATTACAATGCAGTGCTATTCTAATACTATTGTTATTTGACTTTGAAAAAAATTAAACATAATCTGGCTGATGACTTTTTTTTTTTTTTTGGTAGATATAAGAAATGTAGTGACAGTGGAGAATTTAATTCTGGTTTATTGCTTAGCATGTGAGAGAATCGTAAATATCAAAGTAGTGATTTAATTTGAAAATTAGCAGTTTGATTTATTTATATAAAGCATGAGTAAGAGCATGTCTTCTTCATTCCTAATGGTACAAGCAGTAAGCCCTCTGAAATGGACAGTAGTGTATGGGTCATAGTTGATTTATGCATAATTTGTGCCGCTTTCCACTGACACAATTGAAAATGCAAATATAGCAAAATCTTTTGTTTATTTTTTTTATGTTTCGTTTTATAATCTTTCTGGAAGAATTAAGAGGACAAAACATCCAATTTGCTAGCATGTGAAATATTTAATGTTAGAAAGTCATGTCTAAGTCCTTTGATTATGTTTTTGAAATTTATTTGTGGAAAGGCTGCCAGATCCCAAATCCTACCATTTCAGAGTTTATGAATTCTTGAAGACTATTCATCTAGTAATTAAAACTGTAGTTGAGCATGAGACTGTCTGAGTGGCACCAGTAGATTATAAAAAGAGGTAAAAGTGTCTCAGCAGGGCTTTTAGCTGTTTGTCTGAAATACTCTTGCAAACATTCCCACTCACCACTATCACTATGCATGGTAAATAAACTGTATCCTAATAGCCTATAGAGTTAAACTGTTTAATAGAAATGACTTTCTGGTTCTCTCTCTCTGTCTTGTTTCTCAGTTAATTCGATGTCATCAGTCCCGTGGTGGAGCCTGTGGAGACAATATTCAGTCATATACTGCCACGGTCATTAGTGCTGCTAAAGTGAGTACCTTAGTAGTCTCTGGGAGTTGTGATTATGTTGAGTAATTATCAGGTTTCTCTCTTGAATTGTATTGAGGTTGTCCCTTCCATTTTCATTCACAAATGTGGAATAAACTTAAGTAAACCAGAATTGTTTTGTCATTCATGAAAATTGGTGTCTACATGATTTGATATTTAATCTCTAAAGGTTCAGAATAAGACTTTATTTTCTATTATAAATATTTTAGGGTTTCAGTATATTAGATTAAAATCTTGTTATCTAATTAATTTCATATTTGAAAGAAGATTTACATGTTTTAAGTATTGACTTGTGGATTCTTTGTGATTTGCATCATTCTGCCTATACTGACATCCCTTTGCATCTTTGAATGTTTCTGAGTCTTCTAACATAAAAAGAATATCATTCCTTATGAAAACTTGAGTTAGTACCCTGGCACATTCAAACATTCTTTCATATCAAGGGGCTCCCTCCTTTATGTTTGTCAAGTGAGTTCTTTTTTTGTGTGTGAGGGTTAATTTTTGATGATGACTGGTGAACTTTATGCTGATTATAAGGTATTCTTATAACCACTATCCTTTTGAATTTTGAAGTATACAACAAAACAATTCTAATAATAGGGATGACAACGTGAATCTAAATGACAGCATGTAATAGAAAGCACAACTATTCAGAAAAGAACAACAGTTTAAAACAAACCACAGGGAGGGAATCAAAGGTCACACTGTTTAATGTAAAGCAAATACAAAAATACTTCAAGATTGATCACAAATGTTTACACGATGTGCTTTAGAATGTGTTCCTTGGTTTGATGAGAGAAGCATTTCTTATTTATTTTTCTCTCAAAAGGGAAATGATGAATAAGCCTTTATGCTTATAGCACAAAGTATTTTAGATTTTAGAAATCTCTGTAAAGATTGCTTGCTTTTTTCCATTGTGTATGTAAGAATTATGTGGTTATTCCACAAAGAGCGATCTAAGAGTAATTAGGAAGTATCTTCAAGTATTATTCTGTTAGTTTATCCATAGAATATAACAATGAAATTTGTCTCTCAAGTATCAAACTTCTCACATGCTTGGATCAGGATAGCTCATCGTATTACCATTTTGCTTAATTTTCAGTTATGGAATGGGGGATAAATTTTGAGTGCTTCTTTGATATTACTGTGTGTCTGTGTATATACATAAAAGGATAGTGATCTGCTTCATTCAGTGTTTTTCTGTGGACATGCTGGAATGAGATCAGACTTAATCGGTTTTGAAAATAACAGGTCTGAACTCCCTCCTCTACCACACCTCCTTATTGGGAACTGTGAGGCATATACTCCTGTCTTCCACATTTGGGCTTTAAGAAATTATGTTTAATATAACATCTTAATTCAGTTAATTTCCAATAGGCCATCAGTCACCAATAGCTTGATTGAAATTCATTATTAGCTCTGGCAATATGTAAAATTCTGCCATTAGCTTTTGAGTAAAGTTGGTAATGTTTCATTTTACTTTAATTTTTTATGCCTGATTTTAGTGCTTATTCATGTTCGTGGTTATAAATTTACAAAATGGAGGGGAAAATCCAACCATGAACTTTATTGTCACCAAGTAATAGCCTTGTGCATGTCCGTATGTATAGAAGAGTACTTCAAAAAATTCAAGGAAAAATATAATTAAAAGATGAACTTTTTGGGGGGACGGTGGCTGGCTGATAGGGGGATCCAAACCCTTACCCTTGACCTTCATGTTGTCAGCAATCCCTGCTTTAACCGAATGAGCAAACCAGCCCCTCCGTGAACTTTTTGAAGTACCCCCATACATACACTCTCACATATTTAATTTTTACAAATACTTTCAATCCAATCTTATATTGTACCCTGACGTTTTAACTTATAATTATCCCTGACTCAAGTATTTTTAAATGTTCTTGAAAAAATTTTTCTTATCTGTCTACTTTTGACTGCTGAGTCAGAGACCATGAATATTTTGACACACTGGATTTTCTTTAAAGATATTGTCAAATTATTTTGCTAGTTTGATCCTTCATTTCACTTTCAAGGTGTGTATATTTTATATAGAAAAGATTGTAAAGTTGGAGTGATTTCTGGCCTAAATGGTAAGGTATTGGTTACTATCTTTGATTAAATTAGCCTTCTGAGGTATAAAACAATTCTAGTTTTGTATGGTAACTACATCAAAATGACTTTCCTGATTAAGTAATATAATTCTAAATGTATTCTTTGTTTTTGTTACTGTTACATTATGGGTTATACTTCTGTTGGTGTGTTCACTTTTGAAAACTCATCTTGTTGTACACTTAAAATTTCTGTTCTTCTCTGTTTGAGGGAATATAAAGTTTACTCGAAAAACATGTCAGAAACATATCTTCAGACCTAGAAACATTCTCCAGAGCATTTTATTTAGCATTTAAGAATAAACAATGACAATATTGCAAAGTTGTCAGATCATCTTGATATTGAAACCTGCCAAGAGCATTATGAAAAAGTGAAACTACTGCCCTGTCTACCTCATGAACATAGATATGAAAAATTTTAAACAAAATACATTTGGCCCTCTATATCTGTGGGTTCTGCATCCATGGATTCAACCAACTGTGGATGGAAAATATTAAAAAAAAAATAGCTATACAACAGTAAAAAATATTATAAATTAAAAAATGCAGTATAACTATTTACATAGCATTTACACCATATTAGTATTAATCAAAAAGACGGTGAATAACAAACTGACGAGGGTGTGGAGAGAAGGAACACTCCTACACTGTTGGTGGGACTGTAAATTAGTACAACCGCTATGGAAAACAATATGGAGGTTTCTCAAACAACTACAGACAGATCTTGCATATGATCCAGCAATCCCTCTTTTGGGTATATACCCGGAGGAATGGAAATCATTATGTCAAAGGGATACCTGCACTCCCATGTTAATCGCAGCTCTGTTTACAGTAGTCAAGACATGGAAAAAACCTAAATGTCCATCGATGGATGATTGGATAAGGAAACTGTGGTATATATACACCATGGAATTCTACTCTGCCATAAAAAAGAATGAAATACTTCCATTTGCAACAACATGGATGAGACTGGAGAAACTTATGTTGAGGGAAATAAGCAAAGCACAGAGGGATGAATACCTCATGTACTCACTCATGTGGGAGCTAAGAGAGAAAGAAGGAAGGAAAGAAAGACCACAGTGGTCCATTGGACTTACAGAGGGAGAGAACATTCCTTGGGCTATAAAGTGGAATTGGGGGGAAAGGAAAAGGGAGAGGGAGGTTGGGGATAATGGGGTGGGGAACACAGGGTACAAATTCAGTTTGTGGTAATGAGTATGCTGCCAGTATGAATCTGGCTGTCACATGATGGGCATGAGGGGTGACAATCAGCTTTGTATCTCATGAATATTCATAACCAATAAAAAATACAGTATAACAACTATTTACATAGCATTTACAATGTATTAGTAATTATAAGTAATCTAGAAATGATTTGAAGTATGTGGGAAGATGTGCATAGGTTATATGCAAATACTACATCATTTTATATAAGCGACTTGAGCATCTGCAGATTTTGGTATCTAATGGGGGTCCTGGAACCAATTCTTCAATGATACTGAAGGATGATTATATTAGAAAAAAAGATTAGGCAATATACCATTTAGGAAATGTAATATTTCCAAACCCATTTGGGATAATTCTACAATATAAAGGTGGTTTATCATTCAAAATTAATGTGTATAATTTACCACATTAAATAGGAGAAGATTATATGATTATCTCAATAGATGAACAAAAAGTGTTTGATGAAATCTTTTTGTAAATAGAGATAGTTTCTGCTTCTCTGAATTTCCATTTTTCTCAAATTATCAAACTTGTGTAAACACAATATACCTGGTCACATTATATTGTTTATTTTTTCTGCTGGTTCTCATTTACAATGTCTGATTCCTTGTTTGCCAAACTTATGTAAAATTTTTTTAGAAACAATTGTGAATTTAGGATGATAAAGAAGTTCTACTGCTAGTGTTGGATCATCTTAATCCAATTTCAGGCATTGAGATTATTTAAATTATTTAAATGAAGCTCTCCTGAAATAGCTGGGCTCACCTTACCACTGCACATTCACTCTTTTATTGGAAATGTCTTTATGGTCCAACCCAAAGCATGGAGGAAATGTCACCAGGTAGACCCCCCTTGGAAGGTCTTTGACTCTAGTGTATAACCATCTACTTCTGCACATCTGTCAAAAGCACCACTTAGTCCCTTAACAGCCCCCTCTAAAATCAAGACATATAATTTTCTTTGTGATTTCTTGGTAATATGGTATTTTTTTGCAATATGACGTGGAAAGTATGTAAAAAGCCATGCAGTATGTGCCCCTTAAAAAATATGTATCTTGGGCCGGCCCGGTGGCGCACTGTAGCAGTGCGCCGCTTGGGGGTGCGGTGGCGCTCCTGCTGAGGGTTCGGATCCCACATGCAGACCGGTTCCCGCTCACTGGCTGAGCGAGGTGCGGGGGCAACACCAAGGGTTGCGATCCGTTGCCGGACACGAAAAAAGACAAAAAAAGGAAAAAAAAAATGTATCTTAAAATAATTTCATACTCAGTGTTAAATTACTATCTCTGAGAGAGTAATCATTAATGTTTTTCTGATGACAACTTCCTGTGTGGCTTCATAGAGGTTACTTAACCACATTGTGCTATAGAGGGATTAATAATTTTCTTATTTTTAATTTTTTGTCTCACTATGCAATTGCGAAGGTAAATACATTAATTGCATGTGCACTTGGAGCTCCTTAGAGAAAATACTCTTTTTTTTAACATTTTCTGTATTTCCAAATAGCACTTTAATCTTTACACTTTTAGGTATTTTCCCTTTGATTTTGATAAATTTTTTTTTTTTGGCAGTTGGCCAGATTGAATCCTGGACCTTGGTGTTATCAGTACTGTGCTGTAACAAACTGAGTTAACTAGCCAGCCAGATTTTGGTAACAATTGATTTGGGTTTCCTTATAAAGAATATACAAGTAAAAGTGATGAATATTCTCTGGTAGTGATAAAAGAAAAATTAATATTGAGATTATTCAAATGAGATTATTTTGATACATTTATAAGTCTTCGTTAATATTTTCTAGTTCCCTCATAAATGTGTTTTAACCGCAGCGTGATCAATTGATTTAATAAAAATGCCTCTGTTTTCTCTTGTTATCTGATAAGTCTTAATGACAACTAACAGCTTTTGTGAGAGCAGCACCATTAGCACTAATGGATAGGGAGGACAACTGATATGGCATGGGAAAGGTTAAAGATGACTAGTGACCCTTTGGCAAATCTGCCTGCCCCAGAACAGAATAAGTACCATGCTTATTCGAATTATGGGTCATAACGGATTTTCTCACAGTTTTCGTTCTAGTCTGATGTTCAGCTGTCTTATAGCTACACTTTAGTTCTGTGAGTACTCTTATAAAGATTAATTGGGTATTTAATGAGCTTTTATATTTAGATACCTCTTTTTGTGAGGACACTCATTCTAATTTATCATCTCCATTTGGCCAAGTTAGATTTCCTTATTTCTAATTTTTAGTTAGCCTTCCTCATTTTTTTTTTTGTGGCAGTGACTTTTTTTCCCCCCTGTGGCACGTATTTGAGGAAATTATCAGATATGTACATACTGTATCTATTAAAGTCAAGTGGAAAGACAAAGTACTGTGAGGTGATTCAAATTTAAATTTCTAAACATGGTGTGTGAGAAATGTTAAATAACATTATAGATAACTTCTGGACATTAGTACTGACAGATGTGCTTGATTCTAACCTGGGAACACATTTATCCTCAATGCAAAGGTCTTCACTAATACAGAGAATTTCATCACTTGTCCCTCACACTCACTCTCTGCCCGCATAGTTAATGAGCTATGATAAATAGCACCTAACATTTTGTAGCTTAGTGTACAAATTGCGGATCTCATGATGGTTAATTTTGGAGTTTAGATTTTTGCCCACTAATAAGATGACTCCATCGATAGTCATAGTTTTTTTCTAAGAAATATCAAGAACTCTTAATGTAATATGAGACTTTGATTATGCAATATACTGCTGTCTTCCCCCTCTTTGTGGGTCATTTCCCTAGTTCTCTCATGTTAACTTTTACCATTATCTTGTGGTTTGCTTTGGTACTTTACTTTCCACATTTTATGTGCAGCTGTTCTTTTAGATTTATTCCTATTCATTGGTATAAAGCATGAATGCGGAGAATATATAAACAACGACTTTAAAACTAAATGGCATTCCTTTGGTAAAGGGATAGCTACATTTAAGTGAGCGTTTCTCCATTAGCATTAATGGAGTAAGTACATCAGCTGAGGCATCTCAGAAGTTAATCAGGCTTCCTGGCCAGCTCTTGCCATCAATACACTGTGGCGCCTGGTTTTGTTGGTCCTTCAGAGGCTTACTTGACAACACTCTAACAGACTTTGTGTAAGTCATTTCTTGTGAATTATTGAAAGAACATTTGGCTGCTAATTGAGGAATGCTAATGTGTTTTATAATCACTGCAGTTTGAGTTTTTAGCACTAAACAAAACAGTTAAAATTGATTTGTGGCAATTTCTTGGTTTCAGTCTGCTGTAAATTATATCCTTTTTGCTTGGATTCAGCAAACTGGTCATTTTATTTAAGTAGTTATTAGTATACATTATTATGGTTGTTAATTTTTCCTTTTTTCCCCTCATTCAGACATATGTGTTGTATTCATTAACTGTGAGATCACTAGTAATAACAGGAATAGGATTACAAGGCAGTACAGGATAGTGGTTAAAAATCAGGTTCAGGAGACACAGTCCTAGTTTTGAATTCTGCTCTGTCATTGGCTGGCTGTTTGAGCTGCCATCTTACTCTCTTCCCTAGCTTCAATATTATCTTCTCTAACATTGAAGAGATCATTCATGTCAAGAGCCTTGGCCAGTCTGTAGTCCATAGAAAAGATCCCAGGGAAGATAGCTAGCTACAGTGAAATAATGCAGATATTACTAGTCTTAGTAATACAGTGCTTTACTTTTTCTTTAATTTTTTTTTTTTTTTTTGGACGGCTGGCTGGTATGGGTGTATGAACCCTTGACCTTGATGTTATAATACCATGCTCTAACTTCCCTTTCTCAGTTGTAATCTACCTCTCGCTTAAATCCCATTTGGCCCGTTATGCACAAACCTCTTTTTGTACCATTTATAAGTTAAGATTTGAAGTACTATGTATTAATAATTTACATTTTAAAATTTAGCTGTAGCATATACCAGAATTATGTGATGATACTTTTCCCATAATTATCTTAGAAAAGAGAGTCACCTCATTGAGGATTAATTTGTAGTATTTTAATAAAAATTTTTCCTCACAACATGAGAATTGGAAAAAATGTATGTATGTTATTTAATATGTAATATTTGATATATCCATGTAATCTAGGCTGCCCATTTTGGCTCTAATGATGAGACTCTTATTCAACAATTTATGACTCACATAGTTTCCTCTTTAAGTTTTCTTCCTTTTAGATTAAAAAAATCTCATTTAAAAAATTTTTACTAATGTATATGAGGATAATCAGATGAATCAGATAAATACGTACATGAGGTAGTTTTACCTATTTGCTTTGAATGAAATGTAGCTAAAATATAATTATAAAACACCTTAAGTTATCTTTAGTTGAAATAGTATATTAGAGGCACTACATTGTATTGTTTCCTGTTACCATATAGAAGAGAATCTTCTTAGCTGATTTTATATGATACTTCATTCATCTGGTAATTAATATCTTGGACAGAGACTGTATTTTCCATATGCCAAATCCTGGTGTACAGTATTATATAGCAGCATATTATAGATTTACTTTGGAAGTACAGTCTTTTCCACATAGGTATTCTACCAGTTTCTCAGTCTTTTTCATGCCAAAAAATTGACATAAATTTAGATTTATAATATTTCCAGAAATATTATGTCATGCATTTTAAGAAATATACATTAAGGAGAGGGAATAAAAGATATATTTTTTTATAGAACTATAACTGTACCTCTATATGAAACAGAGTTCTTTAATTATTTAACTATGGCTTTATTCCCACCATGCTGGCTTTGGGGCCTTTATTGATGCCCTTCCCTCAAACTAATGGTGACTTTCCAACTAAAATTCAAGATCATGTAATAAGTCAGACTGAATTTCTGTGACAGTTTACTGCCATATAAAAGACTGTAAGTGGTTAAAGAATTTAACATAACTAATAGTAGAATTAATAAAATGCATATTTGTATTTAGAATGCAAATACTAATGTGAAGTCATTCGTTTTACCTTTCATTGTACAGACGTTGAAAAGTGGCCTGACAATGGTTGGGAAAGTGGTGACTCAACTGACAGGCACTCTACCTTCCGGTGTGACAGAAGATGATGTTGCCATCCATAGTAATTCACGGAGGAGTCCTCTGGTCTCAGGCATCATCACAGTTATTGATACTGAAACAGTTGGAGAGGGTCAGGTAAGAACTTTTGGTGTACACAGTGTATGTTATATGCAGAGGTTGGGCTAAGATCAAGATTAGTCAAAATGTATTTGGTCTAGGATACTACTAATTTGGAGTTTTAGAAATTGAGATTATTTCAGTTCAGATTTTTCTTTTCAAGAAATAACGAGTAATATGTTGAAACCTGTTGTTTCAAACATTCTTAATGCATCAAATTTGAAGGTAAAGGCGAGGTTCGAAGAAATTCTCTTTATTAGGACATTTGTTTCACAGATACATAATTATATGTCTCTTTATACTGTTGTGTTAATAATACTATTTCTTTTTTTGTATGTAATGACATTTGTTATGACCTAAATCACCAGATCAATAAATTTATTTTTAAAAGCAGAGGCTTGCTCGTAAAAGCAATCAGCAGGACCTTGTGTTTGGGGAGAATTTTTAAAAAATTAATGGGATAATTTTGATGGTTGTAAGTGACCTAATTTAGTGAATAACATCAAAATTCATAACAGATATTTCCTTATAAATATAAAAATAAATGAAATCTTAAAGTAGCATATCAGAATACATACATGGCAATAGCTTATTATATATCTGTATCTTCAGATGGACCAATTCATTGTAATTTTTAAAATCTAGGTTTAGAAACGTTTAGAAAAGGCGATTATAAACATGGAAAAATATGTTATGCTTGCATCTAAATCTTGCTGGTAAGATATCAGTTGATTTCTGATTTCCTCTCATGCAGTCATAAACTTTATTTTCTTTTGTATCAGTCTTCATTTGAAAAATACATTTCTGAATGGAAGATAATTTTTTTTAAATTCTAGTAGTTTATCATTATTGCTATAAGAAATACAGTCTAATATTGGATCCTAGAATAAGATAGAAGTAGCAGTATTTATGAAATAAATTTTTTAAATGTTTATATATAATACATATTTAATTCTGTATTTAGAACACAATTCATAGAACCTGTGTGAGCCTTTAAAGTATTAATCTTAAATATTGAATGTTCTTCTTTTTTTTTTTTTTTTTTTTAAAAAAGATGACCGGTAAGGGGATCTTAACCCTTGACTTGGTGTTGTCAGCACCACGCTCAGCCAGTGAGCGAACCGGCCATCCCTATATGGGATCCGAACCCGGGGCCTTGGTGTTATCAGCACCGCACTCTCCCGAGTGAGCCACAGGCCGGCCCATATTGAATGTTCTTCTGAGAAAATTTGCTTTCAGTATATATGCACTGACATCTTGGTGACAGATTACATTTGGCAGCACATGTGCTAGATTACTCGTGTGCTGGTTCCTATCATAAGATCAAGTGGTGTTTCAAGAAAATTTGGACTTTACTGCAATTAAAACAAAAAAAATCTTTGAAATTTTGAGTTATTAAATTTGGCTGTTGTAATTTATTTAAAATCTGAGCAGTAATAATTCTCTGTCTCTCCAATCTTAACTTTGTGGTTAACCAGATATGTTTCAGACTTCTCTTGTTTTTTAATGAAGTGCTAGCAAACTTTTCAGTTGATCGTAGTGTGTGTGTTAATTAGCTGATATGGATAGACACATACAGATGTTTTCTTTCTTCTTTGGAATTATATATATAAAGCTTTAGTGTTATAACTGTTAAAGTAAAAAAAAAAATCCTTTTGTTCTTTCATTCTTGATTCATCTACAAGGCCGCCCACTTTTATTACCTGGTAACAACCCGCCTCAGCATTGTTTAGGATCATCCATCTGTTGAAGATCTAGCATTTGTTGACAGAGAGATTTGTGGTCATTTGAAAGTAGAAAATGTTATCTCAATATTTTTGATGAAATTGAGGTGTAACTAATATATTAACTTTATTATATTGAAGCATAGAGGCATATAAAAAGAAAATTTTGAAATATATAAGATATGTATTATTTCATTAGGAGTTATATTTTCAAATGTGGTTTAATTTTTTCTTCAAGTTCTTCATTAACTTTTTATGTCTTTAAAAAAAGGAATTTTCAGGGCCGAGCCCGTGGCGCACTCAGGAGAGTGCGGCGCTGGGAGCGCAGCAGCGCTCCTGCCGCGGGTTCAGATCCTATATAGGGATGACTGGTGCGCTCACAGCGCTCATTGGCTGAGCGCGGTGCGGCCGGTCTCAAAAAGGACAAAAAAAAAAAAGAGGAATTTTCAATTTTGGAGTATGGAAATGGAGTATAGATTGTGGAGTTGCAAGAGCTCATTTGTCTGTGATAAATGCATGGATAACACTTGAAACAAATAAACATGTTTATTAGGAGGAACCATAGTAATGTTCCTACTTTTAAAGGTTAAAAATGTCAAATGTTGTTCAAAAAAATTTTATCTTTTCTGTTATTGGTTGGGAGCAATAATCTCCCGCTAATGACATTTTCCTAACTTTTAGCTTGATTAAAAATTATAAGGCAGGAATGAAATTCATTTTCAATAAATGGTAAGTTGCTATGTACATTTTAAAAGAACTGTATTCTTTAAAGCAGTATGATATTGTCTGTCTGTCTTTATTAACATGAATCTGTTTTTTGTCAATAAGACATTTTTATATCTGATGAATAGTTCAGTTGGGGTATAAGACTGTTTTTAGGTTATACTGGATTGCTTTAAGATGATGGCAGTGGTTAATGTCATAGATTTAACACTTTTAGCTCTTCCCACTGATGTTTAATCTTGCCGTACTGTTTTTCCTTTTCCATATACACCCGAGGAGCTAAAGGTGTCATTACATTGGCTTTTACTGTTTAAATTTATCAAGTCTTTAATAAGATATTTTTGTGTTTACAGTGGTAGTGTATAAAATCTGATTCATAATCTTTCTGATGTTGTATTGATTATTTTGATTTTATGGTGATGGGATCATTGTGTGGTAACTGCATTAGGGAGGAATGGATTTGATTGACTTTGTGTCCATTTTTATCTGTGTTACTTTCATGTTTTATTTAAAAGCATTGCTTGAATAGGATAAGTTAAGTGGTATAATTTGCCTTTCACACATTTATCTAATTGAAGTTAGCAATGTGGCAAAATCACTAATAGAAATAAAATGTCTTAGAATGATGACCTAAGCTTGAACTATTTTTTGCCCTGAGAACAATTGTTATTCATAATTATTTAGTGGCTTCTGAACTGTTTCATTAATATAATGAAGGCTTACCCACTTTGTACCAATTGAAGTGCTTTGCTTTATTTAATATAGTCAAGTTATTAATACATACTTAGGGGTTCACCCTGCTTAGATAAGTGGTGAGTAAAGATTACATGTCATAGGAAAATTATATTGGGATATCAATAGGATTAATGGTTTGGTGTTTTAGGCAAGGTGATGATGTAATCCAAAAGTTTGATGCAATCTGACTGTTTGTTTTTTGAAGCCCATAAAGAGAAGATTCAAAGAATCTTATGTAGTGGTAAGGGGTTTTGCTATGGACCGAAAATGATGAGCTTTTTTGCAGGGTACATTCTCTATGATTGCCATTAAATTGAGCACTCAAAGATAATTGTGTTGGAAAGAGACATATAAGGTATAGGGTTATAACATATGAAAGGAAAAGGAATCTTGTACATCAAGTTTAAATGAGCAAAAGACAGAAATAAATATTTCACAGAAAAATAAAATATATACAAGTGATATAAAATTTGTACCCATGACTAAGAGAACTGCAAAGTAAAACTACATGGAGATACCATTTTTCACCATCAGAATCAAAGAAATTCAAAAGCTTACAATATATACTATATTTTTAATTTTTATATAATTGCAGATATAACCATATGCATTTCATCCTATTTCCTCCAGCTCCAGAATAGTATAATAGAAACTAGGAACTTGATAATGTTAACTACACTAAAGACCTTCCTCAGTTTTCCCCATTTGTTTAAACTGTATTCATTTGTGTGTATATGTGGGTGTATGTAGTTTTATAAAATTTCTTCTCACATATAGATTCTTGTAACCAGCACAGCAGTTAAAATGCAGAACTGTTCCATCAACATGTATCTTTTTGTATTCATGCCCATCCCTTACCCAACCCCCATCCCTTTCTCTTGACAGCCACTAATCTGTTTATTATCTCTATAGTTTTGTGATTTCAAAAATGTTATACAAATGGAGTCATATAGTATGTAAGATTTAAAATTGACTTTTTTTTTCACTAAACATAATGTCCTTGAAGTCCATTCAGGTTGCTCCATGTAGTTCATACTTTTTTTTTTTTTCGTTAAACTTTTATTTTGTCTATATACAATGTATATGATTATTATGGCCCATCTCCGACACCTCCCTCCCTCCTCCCTCTCTCCCCTCCCCCACAAGAATGTCCTTTCCGTTTGCTTGTTGTAACAACTTCAAAAAAGTATAGTTGTTATATCTTCTCCCCCCGCCCCGGTTTTTTTTGTGTATATATGTGGGTGAATTAATTTGTTTTTTAGCTCCCACCAATGAGTGAGAACATGTGGTATTTCTTTTTCTCTGCCTGACTCATTTCACTCAATATTATTCTCTCAAGGTCCATCTACGTTGTTGCAAATGGCAGTATTTCATTCGTTTTTATAGCTGGGTAATATTCCATTTGTATATATACCACATTTTCCGTATCCACTCATCCGAAGATGGACATTAGGGCTGTTTCCAACTCTTGGCTATTGTAGAGTGCTGCAATGAACATTGGGGTACAGGTATACCTTCGA